GAACATATTTAGTAACTCTCTACCTAGAAGTGCGCTCGGGTTTGGTTGATTTTGCTTAGCGGCATATCAACACTTCTATAGGTTATTTAATACCGAAATCTAAATATTTTGAACAATATTTTATAGCTTCAACTAAATATATTTTGAACGCAATTGTATGCCTTCAGCTACATGTAAAATGTATTGTTGGTTATTTTAATATAAATATGTATTATTGGTTGGTTGATTTTGTTTAGCGGCATATCAACACCTCTATGGGTTATTTAATGGCGAAATCTAAATATTTTGAAAAAAGTTGTATGCCTTCAACTACAGATAAAATGTATTGTTAGTCATTTTGCTTTATATATATTGTTGGTCATTTTGCTATAAAATGTATTGTTGCTAATCTTACAGTAAAATGTATTGCGGATCATTTTGCTTAAAAATTGTATTATTGGTAATTTTACTATAAACATTTATTGCTGGTAAATTTTTATATATAAAAATGTATTGTTGGTATTTTTATTATAAAAATGTATTTTTATACTTTAATAGTTTTTGTTTGTGCGTTCAATATTTGCCTATAGCTAGGACCCTAACAGGTGCTACCACCCCAGGTCAGAGTGGATCTGAGGGCAACAGCAGTTAAGAAGTGGTTCCTTGCTCATCAAGACCACCAATCTCCTGATCAGAAACCTTGCTGCCGGATGTAGTTTATCGTCATTCCAAGGACTGAACGCTTGGGACACGTATTTAGGGAATAATATTGTAAAAAAAAACAAAAAAACAAACCAAAAAGCAGCTATTGAATTATTGGGTTATCGTATTGCAATTATATCTCCTTGATATATATTTTTAATCATTTCACCCCAAGCAAGGCAATAGAGCCACTAAGTCGCAAATTGTTACTGAGTGCGAGAGAATATGAGAAAAAAACAACAAAACAACAAAACACTATTTACGAAGATAGAACAAAACGATTGACATTGCATATAGATTTTTGAAGATCAAAGTTGACCGGAAACCAAGAAACCCTGAAAGAGTTGCACAAGCGAGAAGTGCCAGAGAAGGAACTCTTAGCATAGAACTTACGGTTTCGTCTAGCCATTTCAGGTGTAAAATGACGAGACCTAGCCGCCAATCTAGTACTGTGCTTAAATTCACAAAGAAAAATGTTCATTACAATATTTACCATGAAAATATTTATAGACAAGGCACAGGGAAGTTACACGAGTTCAGCAATCAAGGATTACAAGAGAAAACACTTTTTATATGTTTGTTTTCTCATGTAATCTTTTATAATTGAAATCAGCTAGCTTCCCTGCACATTTTCTATCAATATTTTCATGTTAAATGTTCTCACAAGATTTCCTCTTTGGTATCTAGACTTTATGAATTTAAGCGCAGTACTAGATTGCCAGTTGGGTCTCAACATTTTACAGATGAAATCTATCGATCTATCTATCTATCTATCTATCTATCTATCTATCTATCTATCTATCTATCTATCTATCTCACTCGGTTCATATCTATCTATCTATCTATCTATCTATCTATCTATCTATCTATCTATCTCACTCGGTTCATATCTATCTATCTATCTATCTATCTATCTATCTATCTATCTATCTATCTATCTCACTCGGTTCATGTATAGCTGTCTATGTTATCAAGCCTGTTCTCATCTATCTATCTACACTATCTGACGGACTAGCTATCTAAAATCTACTTCTTTTTATCTATTTCACTCAGTTTTCATAGCAGATATATCGTTTTTATCTGTTCTAAAAAGATATCTTCTTTTGAGGTTTGGGCAGAAATAGAAATTTGGGACTTAAATTGACATGCAATGATATATTGTGACCTTAGACGCCAGGGCCCCCTTTCCTTTTCAACGAAGAACATAGGAGAGACAAGCAAACAAACTGAGATAGATAGATAGATAGATGTTATAGAAGATAGATAGATTAGATCATGAACAAATTGATATAAATAACAAAGAGATGGCGATAGATGATCTGACACTGAGATGACAGACAGACAGACAGATAGATAGGATAGATAGATAGATATGAACAGAGATAGATAGATAGATAGATAGATAGATAGATAGATATGAACAGAGATAGATAGATAGATAATAGATAGATAGATAGATTAGATCCAATGAACAAATTGATATAAATAACAAAGAGATGTCGATAGATATATGAACAGGCTGAGATAGACAGTGTAGATAGATAGAAGATATCTTCAGAGATAGATAGTTTAGATAGATAATAGAAATTTGAACAGGACTTAAATTAGAGATGCAATGATAGATAGATAGATAGATAGATAGATAGATAGATAGATATGAACAAATTGATATAAATAACAAAGAGATTTCGAACGAAGATATGAACATGAGATAGACAGACAGACAGATAGATAGATAGATAGATAGATATGAACAGAGATAGATAGATAGATAGATAGATAGATAGATAGATAGATAGATATGAACAGAGTTAGTTAGTTAGATAGATAGATAGATAGATAGATAGATAGATAGATAGATATGAACAAATTGATATAAATAACAAAGAGATGTCGATAGATAGATATGAACAGGCTGAGATAGACAGACAGACAGACAGATAGATAGATAGATAGATAGATAGATAGATAGATAGATAGATAGATAGATGGATAGATAGATAGATAGATATGAACAGGCTAAGATAGATAGATAGATATGAAGAGACATAGATAGATAGATAGATAGATAGATAGATAGATAGATAGATAGATAGATATGAACCAACTGAGATAGATATATATGAACAGACTGAGATAGATAGCGAACAGTGGTGATAGATAGATAGATAGATAGATAGATAGATAGATAGATAGATAGATAAAACTGGTTGCGACAGTTTGCAAAACAATTGGGATTCTACAGTGAGTTAAGTTGCAATTATTCGTCACAGGTGCATATAGAGAGCGAAATTACAAAAAGCTGTTCATTTCAAAAAGTGTTCGTTAATTAAAGTTTTTTGGCAAGGCGAATTAGCGAAAAATTAATTCGTTTATTGAACTTCATTGGCACCACTTTAATAGAATTAATAAAATAATTAAATCTTAATGAAATTAAACAGTGAATTTTTTCAGACAAATTTCACATCGATAACATATCTGGACTACAAGAAAAAAAATTTTTGAAATGGTGCAAGGGATATCATAGCTAATTTTAAACAATATCATGGCGCTGTATTCGAATATTCTAGTCATTTTTCTCAGTTAGTCCTAGTTTTCTTGATTCTGATGAAGTGCAAAAACAAGAAAATTGCTTATTTTAAGTCATTTGTCTGAAAAACGAAAAATGAACAGTTATGCAAATGCATAAGTAAGGTAAAAAGTATACCAAAACACAAATATGTTAGATTAAATACGAAATTAAAAAGAACTATCATAGTAAGAACTTTCGCTTTTTTTTAACTTTTGCGAATTATCCACAATTTTGTCTCTCTTCAGGCTTTAACAATAATCTGCCATCATTCTTTTATCAATCTCTTTTGATATCTCTCATCCATGACTTTTATATCCCGATGAAAATTTTCTTCTTGTTCATCACTTATATCGCCACAGTTTTCTAGAAAACCTGTCCAAATGACTTATGCAGGAGATGGAGTTTGGTGGATATCCGTATTAACACCAAACTCCCGGTAGTTTACTAACATCCTATCGACTAGTTTCCTATAGTCATCTCTCTTGCGATTACCAAGTAACATTTTTTTTTTTGCTACAACAAATGAAATCCAGGCATTTGATTCAGTAACATTCAAAAAGTTGATAAAGTTTATCATCGTCAATGAGTTTACGAAAATCAGGTCTATCAAAAAACAGCTTGTTCCAGTTTTACTACGCTGAGATCTGGAAATGCACTGCAAATGTACTGAAAAAAAAATGGCTTTCCTTGTCAAGCGCTTTCACAAACTGCTTCATCAGTCCTCATTTGATATGGAGATGATTTTGTTTCTGGGGACGAGCGGATCAGCTATCACATTTTTCTCTCTTTCATTTCTACTCTGACCGGTCACTCTCTTCTGTCCCAAGGTTCATCATTCGCTCTGTTGTCCTATAAACAAAGGAAGCCTTGCGTAGCCTGATTTGTTGCCTGAGTAAAAACTTAACCATTTTCAGGCCAATAGAAACCACCCATTTATGATGAAAGTAATTTATTCTTTTTATTGCCTCTTTGAAGGATTCATGCCTTTCTTTCAGCTTTGTGCAGTGTCCATTTGGTATCGATGCATCTCAAGGCGATCTTTAACCCAGACCTGTACAGCGTGAGTAGCTCTTCAGAGTCTGGGGGAAGGGCAACAGTTAACATGCCAAAATTCGTTGCTGGAACTGAATTATGAAATTAATTATTTTAAAAAGTAATTTTTACTGTTTACTTTTGAATTAACTTAAGTTTAGTATTCATGATGCTGAAGTAAGTATAATGCTTATTTATTTTATTTGAACTTGTAATATTTTATCTTTAAACAAACCTCTTCGGTGCGAAAATCACAAGTTAAGAATTTTATCGCATAAAGTTAATATAAATTTAATACTTTTCTCTATGCTATTGTTCTTCAACAATGACGATATTATGTATAAAATTATTTTTTATGAATAATTTGTTTATCTTTAACAAAATAAACGGGTATCATTTTTTTTAAAAAAGTATGTTCAATTTTTCTATCATTCGTAAATAATTTGCGCATCCCACAGACGTGCCGTGGTCTCTCTCTGTCTCTTTTACAAGTATTTTCACGGCATCTGTTCCGACGAGCTACTTTCGCTGGTTCCCGGACTTCATGAATTTAAGCGAGCTACCAGGCTGGTATCTCGGTCCCACCCTTTCACTGTCAAAAAGGGTTAAATGTAACCGTCTCTTCTACTCAAACAGCTTCTTCTTCCGCACTTCCCGTCTGTGAAACTCCCTTCCCCTTACTTGCTTCCCTGATGACTATAATCTTCAAATATTCAAATGTAATGTCAATCGATATCTGACACTCTGAGCTTGATCCCCGTCCTTCTCTGTATCCTTTCCTCAAACATACCTCTTGTTCTCAATCCTCTTTAACCCTTTGCGTGCTCGTGCCACTTCCGCCTTGCTTCGGGTGAATTGCCTTAAAAAAAAATTTGAAAAAAAAAAAAGAATAAAATTTTTTATCTAATATTTTTTCTATGATATTATTCTTCATAAAAACATATTGATTAAAAAAAATGATTACTTACAGTTACTTAAAAAAATATATGTTGAATTTTACTAGCATTGTTTTGTTAAAAATGAAAAATGACACTTATTAAAGAGTTTATCACAAAGTTAATTTCAAAAATAAAATTCAATATATTTAATATTTTACAACTATTTTTAAAAATATACCACAAAATGTAAAATCAATATCGTCTTTCTCTTTTTTTTTTTTTACATTTTTGGCGATTATTCTAAAGAGCGAAATTCACAAATGATATCCTTATTGAGAATTTTGTCACAGAAAGTTAATTTAATTTTTTCTTTATGCTATTATTCTTCATAATAACGAATATCTTGATTATAAAATTTAATTTTAAGGAATAATTTGTGTTTTCTTTGTGTTGTAGAGTAGTTTTCACAGTGGAGGCTTGTATTTCACTAAGTCGGTCCTAAATTAGGTTCGACGTACAAAACGTTAGGAACTTGAAATAATAGTTAATGACGCAGCGATCTAGTTGTGAGGCTCATACTTTAATGTCCGACATCGACTGACTCACTCAACTCCACTGAGCCCAACTGACAACCGCTACTACTACTTATTATGTGTGGTAGAGTCTATTACAATAGAATAGGTAATGTTTGTAACACGTGAAGTATACTGATAGAATCCTTGTAAGAAAACAAAAAAAAAAAAAGAAAAGAAATGATTGTAACTTTTAACCCTGCTGATTTCTATGCAGAAACTTGAACATTTGAAAAAAGAATAAACAATTTTTTCTAATATTTTTTCTCTGATATTATTCCTCATAAAAACATATTGATTTAAAAAATAATTGCTTACAGGTATGTTGAACTTTTACTAGTATTGTTGTATTAAAAATATAAAACAGAATTAACCAGTTTAATTTTTTTTTTTAAATATACTGTAAAAATATTAAACCAGATAATTTTGTTTAGATAATCGTATTTTATCGGAGAGGAGGTGATCAATCTGCACCCCACATAAAATACAATTAACCAAAAATTTGAATCAGGGAGGTTCAGCTTGCTATGTAACTTCAACATAAAACGACCAATGAAACAATTTGGAAATGCTTTGGAACCATGTAATTCCTTAAAAGACAACGGAAAGTAACATAAGTTGACAAATTACCACATTCATACAACATTTAAATGATTAATTCTGAACTTACCTCCCCCAGACCTTAGAATATAAGGTTCATACCCTTTTTAGAAGCATCATGTAATTTTTACAAAATAATAGTTTAGTTAATATTTTTAATTTCAGTATGCCAAAATCTTTCTCAAAATAGTCAGAAAGTGCTTGTGTAACAGGTTGTCGGTTGTAACTATGATTAACAAAATAAGGATTGTGTATTTTGTCTTCCCCAAGATCAGAATGAGTGAGAACGATAGTTAAGGGCAATATCCCGATACCACACCCTTGACAAACCAAACACTGTTGTTTCTGTAAGGTATTTTCCATCTGATTATGAAACTGGTTATTACAAGAAAAGTGCGACCCAGAAATCCACCATCATTATTTGATCATTTACCATAAGTGTATTACCTAGGCAACAACCAAAACTAACAAATAAAATTTCTTCTTCTGAACGAAATGTGCAAAATGATGAGTTGGCAAAGTTTCTACAAAAAGACAAAATCCTCACTTTAAAAAAAATGTATCAGAATATTGATCAACAGGATTTTGTCTCAACCGTTACATGCTAAATCAAACAATCAGCTGTTCCTCCAAACTTTTTTTTTTTTTTTTTTTTACTGGAAGTATTCCAATTCTTTTAATTAAAACTTTTGAAAAGTTGAGATTTGAATGTTACAATGCTGGTATATATACTTTATTTTTTCTCTTTCAAAAAGTCGAATATCAATGTTTCAGTCACAAATCAATGAAAACAATTTGTTATCTGAGTAACTTAAAAGTTGATAAGAAAAAAATCATATTATCTATCTATGTCTGTTCATGTTATGTCACGACAAAGGATTAGGACAAAACATTATGATTCTGATATTCTTATCAGGACATTTGAATATTTTTTATATTTCGATCATTATATAACAAACTTCAGAATGATTTTTAGTTACCCAGTGTGAGAAGATTATCAGTTTTGATATCAGAAGTTTCAAAATTAGATGATTGTAATTATCTTGGTGATATTTTAGTGAAATCTCTAAATATCAGAAAAAAAGTGTATTCTTTTAGTTGTATGTCAAGGTTGCTCTACAATATTATGGAGGAAATTTATTTGGTTTGGCTGAAAATTTTGAGGGATAGCAAAAACAGTATTGGGCATCACAGTAAAATGTTTAAATGGGGGACCAAATATTTTACTTAAAATGATCCCAGTTGCAAATTTTTTTTAATATATTGTTGATTTAATCAAACGGTCAAGTAATTGCAATTGTATGTGACAATAATAGGACCCATCTATCTTTTTGCCAAAAATTTGACATTGTTTTTAATAAGCCTTGTAATAGGTGTAGGTAGACTTCCTACCGTCCGATCAATACTCCTCCCACTTCTCTTGAACAAGAGTAGAGGGTCACACCTTGTTTTTTTTGTTTAGGAAGAGGTTCTCGGAACTCTCCCTTCCTATCTCTCTGGGGAGGATACTACTGAAACAGTTAATTTCATTGAAAAAGTTTTAAAATTTTAG